AAATTTAGCAATTTTTTGAAGAGAGCAGATCCTGAAATGACCTCAAAAACTGTGTCTGAAAGTTCTTAGTAACGGCAACACAATTATGCGATACAATTTTCTCACAGGAGCTGCGACACAATATTTTTTACTGTGTACTATTGGTATTTACAGGATTTCACATTCACGTCGTACTTTAAGCTACAATCGTCTAGGTCTGTTGTTAGGTCAGTCTGTTGTAAGCATGCAGAGAAGGTTTGCAACATTCATACCCGTTTGTCAGAAGTGAGTTTGATCAGAAGAAAATTCATTCCATAGAAGCATTGCTTTTTGAATTAAACACAGTTGTGTGTATTAAAATATAAATGTACAGAAAGTATTGAAAGAATTTTACAATGAAAAGTTAAGCTTAATTCTTTATTTGTTTAAATTGTATTTTTTTTGTTATTATTTTTACTGAAAAATTAAATATCAACATAGAACAGAAAGTATAAACATCTCATAGCGGAAAGAATAGCTCTATTATGACAGCAAAAATTTAAAAGATCAGAAAAAATACCTTTTAGCAACTGTAGTTAAAAAGAATATAGAACATAAAATAATAATTACGTTGTTTTCACTATATTTTTTCGCTTAAAATGCTTTCAAATCAAGTGTACAGTAAATAAACAAATTTTTCTCTTTGTGCTAAAATAACGTATGACAAATGTGCGTCATTGAAGTAGCCTTGAAAAAATTTAAACATATTTTTATAACATTTTCTTTGTTTTCTTGTTTCGTGTGTGACTTATTAAACCGAAATACATTTGTCAAGCAGATAGTATTCATTTACCAGAAAAGAGTTTGTTCACCTCTTCTTTTTAGAAATCATATAAAAGCATAAAATTTTATCAAGACTCCTCTCAAACTATTCTTCGTCACATACAGCATGGACGAACTTGAGGGTGGGCTCTTCTCGCACATCTGACTGTTTATGATGAATGAGCTGGCAGGAGTACGCTAAAGGCAATCAAGCACTTAGGTTCATTTGTAAATTAATCTTAGAGACGGAAATGAAACTACTACTAAGACTTGTACTAGGCCAGCAACAAAAAAGGTCACGTTCTAGCTTCTACCGTATAAAGATCTATAGTCTAGAACATGGATTATTTCTTTTGTTCATTTTTTAGCTATTATCAGAATGTCTACTGACACACAACTACAAAATTTGCTTGGTCTTGAACAGAATATCGATGATGATGTCTTGACAAACTTCCAGGATTGCTTAAACAAACTACATCATAGTGAAGACAAGGAGAACAACAACATATTAATGACACAAATAATCGATAAGTTGAACAAATTTCTTGAAGAAAACTTGACCGTGTTACAAACAATTAACAGAGATAGACGAACTAAATTTTCTGATTCTATTTTGGATCAGATTGCTTCAATTAAACAATATGGTATAGATGAAGAAAGATGGACTAAGCTCAAAGAACTTATTTCTGTATGTCGGTTTGATTTGGATAAACAACCGCTTTCATTCGTTATAAAAGGAGTAGATTGCTTGAATTCTATAAGCGAATGTGAAACAAAACATTTGGATTTAATTCAACACCTCAATATTGATGAAATTCTTGTTGAACAATACAGAACAATAAGAGATGGTCACAAACATCCGTTAGTTATTATATGTTTAGGGCTAACAAGTAAAACTGGTAGTTTCATAAACTTTCTCGAACATGAAATTATAATGGCCGAAAATAGTCAAGAATCAACAGTAACCAAAATATCAAATGGAAAGAAAACTCGAACAACTAATAATGAAGAAGTGCCAGTAGAAATAAATGAAATAATAACAGAAGAAATCACAGTTAAAATTCTAAAAGATATTGAATTATGGAATATTCCACTTTTTGACGAAGAAGATATGAAAATAGACGAGATATTGGATAATGCAGATCTTATCTTTTTATCAATTTCACACGATGATTTTGGTGCCGCAGCAGATTTTCTAAAATCTCGTTTGAAAACTACTATGGACAATATTGTGTGTTTACTCGATATATCCCATAGTGGTGGTATTGATGAAACAGCAACATTGAAACAATTCCAGATTGAATTCGGTGATAATTTGAATATCATAGCAATTGATCAAAATTGTTCAAGAATTCGTCAAAAATGTATTGAACAATCAGCCAGATGGCTTCAAATAAATACTCAAACTATCGTAGAACTTCGTTTAAATTATTTACTGTCAACATTGCATGAATTGTTAGATTATAATAATATTGATCGTACACTTGGACATTATCATCAAGTTAATAGAATTTTTAATCGATATTATTCATTATTTATCTCTAGTTTTCTTAATTTATTTAAAGAACAAATGGATGATGCTTTCAATGAAATCATGAATGATGATGTTAATAATATATTAACTGAATGCAACTCACATTTGGATAATAAAGATGTTTTAGTAGAAGATATTGAAGAACTGATTGTTAATAAAATTGTTGATAAATACAAATATATTCTCAACAGGAAGGAACAACAAATTCAAGAAAAAATTATTATATTGTTTCAGAAATTTTCTTCGTCTCTAAAATTTAGTCCACCGGAAGAGCAAATCATAGAACAAGTGATTCTAGAAGAAGTAATGAATCCTTACAAGATGGGAGTTGGAAAATGTGATAATTTTTCTAAAGTAAGAGGATTGAATGGCTTTTTGTTTGCCAATATTTTACTACAAGAAATTTTGTCTGATTGGTCATTAGTTTGTAATTTTGGAACTTTTGAAGGTATCGACAATTTCATAGGCGCTTGGTCGGCCGGTTTCTTTTTTCCGGGTGCTCGAGAAAAAGATGATTTTACTGAACAGTTAAAACCGAATATTATTGAAGTTGTTAGATGTTGTGCACTTGAAATTCAAAAACAACAAACACTTGTACTAAGACAATTATTAAGTCAAATATCGAGAAAAATAAATAACAGACTTGATGAGAAAATTCAAAAATTTGTTAGTATTGAAAAGACTGTTATTAGTCGATCTATTCAACGACATATGACATACATAACTGAACTCTATTTGGATATTGCTGAAAAACAGTGTAATTCGACATACAAAGAGTATATTAGAACAGACTTTCAACTGAATCATGATGTATTTGGTGGACAATTGTTATTAATCGATAATCGACATGTTGATCTAGTATTTAAAAAAGTAACATTAGATCAAATAAATTTAGCTGAAATTCGATATATTCGACAATTCGCTCATCAAAATATAGTTCAATATTTTGATATTAAAAAGCTTTCTTCTGAACCCAATACTTATTTTTTGATTATGGAACGAATGGATTCTGATCTAGCAACATATATCCGACAGCAATTATACAATATGAATGCAACATCCATTTCTAAGTTGTTTTTTCAAATAACAAACGGACTTTGTTATGAAAAGTACTTTGACTATAACGATCATTTGCTATGCAAAATTTTGTCTATGTGTCACTGCTGTCTGTATTTATTTTAGCCAAAAATTCTCTGTAAACTAACTCCACAGCATGACTAAGTGATTTGTGAATAATTAATATATTCACAAACAAGGACTTATACATCAACATATAAAACCGGATAAAAATATTTTAGTAAAAAATACAGCACCACCGCGTTACGTCATCGCTGATTTTGGTTTAATTCAACGAACACCTCCGACATTAATTGGAACAGATGGATATTTGGCACCAGAGATCTTCAGTCCTCGTCTAGGACCTATTACAGATAAATCAGATGTTTATTCACTGGGCAATCTCATTCAATTTGTTATTCGAAAATCACCGCATCATCTAAGAAATAACAGGTTACTTCAAAAATGGACTGATATTTCAAAAAACTGCTTGAATCGAAAGGCAGTAGCAAGGCCAACATGTGCAGAAATCATTAAAAATTTTAATAGAAATAATTAGCTACCATATGTTGCATTAGAGCTTACTCTCTTTTTACTGTTTAATCAATTATGCATTAGATCGACTACCGCAGGATATCTGGTAACTGGAATATGAGAAGGACTTTAATATTTTCGGACTTGTTTCTGACGACAAGCACAAATTATTTAAAGTACAGCCTCTTAATTGAATATTTCTATCTCTTTTAAAAGACATCGCACTTCGGGAAAAGATGTTGTAGAAGAGGAAAAAACAGACAAGAAATTAGTTGGGCCCGGAAAAAGAGCATATTAGAGGAAGAATGGTTAATTAGTCGGAAAAAAGACAGATTTAAGCCTGGAATTCAAAAAATATAAATTGTCTGTTCTTTCGACCAAAAATGAGTCCGTTTATAAGGTGCGAACAATGCAAAAGAGGATCAGAAATCCTAAATCAAAAAATGAAGTAGCAGTTGTCGGATGAGATAAATGCAACTTTCACACGAGCTCGACGGAACGACAAAAAGAACGCGCATCACCCACCTCGGACTAGTGAATTAGAATCATCTTTTTAATTCGTATTGAATAGTTTTTTCACAACGTCAGCGGTGAGTAGAAGGTAACAAAGGTTGAAGCATATTTTTTTGAGAGAAGACGATTTTCCAAGCCCTGAGTCTTCGACAGTCTCTCCCTTGTCCCCAAGAGTATTGACTGGAGTTTTGTCGATCTAATTATTTATCACAAATCGTTTCTCAGTCATTAGTTGATGTATTATTATTACCACTACTTATTATTACCTCATAAGTTGCTTTTCTAAAAGTTTTCAATCTCGTCAAACCATTTTTTAACTCAAGAAATCGAGTATTTTGATACTTGCTAGTTGTGCGTATATATATTTCTCCTTAGTGGCCAAGTAGCTACTTTATATTGAAACACATACATTATATCTCATAGTAAGACATTATTGTTTTTATATAAGAAAGAAAAAATCAGTTGAGGCGGTCGAGTCTCAGGAAATGTATTTTAAATTCTTTAGATCAATCGTTTTTTCTCAGTGGCCTTGCATCAAATAGTGAGAAGGTTGTTGATTTGGATCATTCGTAAGTGGAAATTGACTTTTTTGCTGTTGTTTATAGTCGTCTCCAACATCGATTCTGAGACTATGTGACAGTCAATCAACAGTTTACATGAAGGACAGAAAAAATATATCTAGAAATACAAAATTAGTTCTTTTATTCGTTTTTACTCATATGCATCACTCTTGATAGTCTATCACTTGACAAACGATTTTTTTTCCTGTTAACATCCAACACGCAGTCTGTTTATGCATATATTTTAT